CCTCGATCGAACGACCGCTCGCGTCGTTAAATACCGCACCAACGCGAAGGCTTCTCTCGACTTTGCTCTCCTCTCGCACGAAGCTCTCTCCCCAACTCCCGTCCGATCCACTCAAACCCGACGCCAACCTCCAACCGAACTCCTGTTCGGAGCTCCTCTCGCACGAACCCTGCCGAAGCTCTCACTGCCGACGCCTCTCAACCCCCTATCCTGATCTCCCTCTCTAGCCCGACGTCCACCGACCTCACCCAGGCGAACTCGCCTCCTCCCGTCGAGCCCGATCCTAACACCGAGAGAGAGAGAGAGAGAGAGAGAGAGAGAGAGAGAGAGAGAGAGAGAGAGAGGAAGATCGGCCTACCTCCTCCCTTGCTAGCCGACTCCATCTCCTCCGACGACTTTCCCTTTTGCTCGATCGGGAGTAGCGACAGGAGCTCCCTGTAAAGGTAACTCTCTCTGTTTCGAGCATCTCTTCGGCCAGATCCCGTAAATCTGCTGAGCTGAAGGATATAAGGTGGTAGCAAATCCTGTTTCAAAAGGATTTAGCTTAAATCCTATTTAATTTCTGCATCCTACTTAAATCCTACTAATCATGTCCTAATCATGCTTAAAACTTGTTAATTAATTATAATTGATTAGATTTAATATTAATTAATTATTTTTAATTATAAATTAGTTATAATTAGTTATGATTAAGTATAATTAATTATGTTTAATTTTAATTATTTATAATTAAAATTATTTTAATCATAATTAACTAAGTTTAATTATGATTAGTTTTTTTTAATTATAATAATTATTTATTAATCATATATTAATTATACATAATTAAAACTAATTGTAATTAATTATTTTTAATTCTAATTAATTATTTTTAATCATAATTGATTATAATTATTCTTATAACTAATTATAAGAAAAGAAGAAAATACCTCTCTTACCTCGTGCCGACACCGACGAAAGCGAAGGTATAACACTCTAACCCTAAAACTCCGAGAACCCGTTTCAACACATTCGTCGAGACAAAACGACCACCTATACACGCTTTTCTTAGCGTGGTGGGAGGGAGTGCGTTACGACGTTTGCGACGAAGCGGGTAATCACCCAAATTCCTTCTTCGAAGTTCGTATCGCCTTGGAAACCCCGCCTATGCACGCTTTTCTTAGCGTGGTGGGAAGGGATCCCGGTGCGATGCGCACGACGAAGCGGGGATACCCATAAGTACCCGCTTGCGGGGAAATAACTGC